GGTGAGAGGGGGGAAGGAAAGGCGGGAATCGTAAAATATTCGAAAAGTATCAGGCGACGATGAACGTGGAGAAGCGTCTGGCCGGTCTTAAGTAAACAGCTGCAATTAGGAGCACTTGTTCGGAAGGGTTTGGTGTTAGGAATGCGTTAACAATAGACAATGAAACACTTGTACAAATTTTACATTTTCTACGGAGTTTTATTCAACATTTTGGTTACATTTCCAATAAATCCGCCGTTATAATAATTCTGATCAACATAAATAATCCAGAAAACCATTGGTGCAGCTGCGCTCAAGACCAGAGTGGATAAGAGGTTGAAAAAGCACATGGCGTATTTGTCTGTTTCCATAGTGATGTGATATGTAGGTATTCCCTCCGGTAGGTTGAAATATTCAAATCCGTAGACAGGTATTGTAGTCAGGCCCATCGAGTTGATCGGAATGGAACACTCTGAGCAACAGCGTATCGACGAATGTCGGGACTTGCTTATAAGTAACGTCTATATCCCCACCCTCCTCCCGTTATTGTTTCGCAATAGGGTATTTAATCACCACAATTGAAATCTGGAAAGCTGGATGGTATGTCAACTCGTCATTTTCTTTTCTTCTGAATTTTCAATCAAATCATGTTTTAGAATGATTTACACAGTGAGGAAACGTCCAAGGAAGTGTTTTCAACGATTAAAGAGTGCGGTCCCCATGCGTTTGCCGGTCTAGTCTTATGTCTAGCCTATTTGGGTCATTATGACGTTATCCATACAATGGTCAACGGCACAATGCCCCCTGCCGCAGTACAGAAACGAGGGTTTTGGAAGAAAATAACTATAGCTTTAAAGAATAGGTTAGGAAGAAGGGATGGTTTTGAGGAGATTTCAAATGAAATGAGCGAATAAATTTTACAGTATATTAAATTGTTTATTCACACATTTTTGAACAATTGATCCTGTACCGGATAGGTTTACAAATTTTCTCTTAAAGCTAGTGGCCGATTTATTCTTCATTATTTTCTTGAACATTCTTACAATTGACTTATCGTTACGTTCCCGGTTATCTGAGAATTTTCACAAGAAAGATAACAAAGATAATCCATTACCAAGCCAGTGAAGAACAACAATGCAATAGTGGCCACAGACGCTAGTTGTGACGCTTTGGAGTTGTTTATGGTTGTATTTATAGTTTCGACAGTTTCTTCTAAGACAGCGTGCAAACCGGCGATCTCTCGGTGGAACTCCATAGCTGTCAAAGTACGTTCCCTTTCCCTCATGGTCAATGTACATCGCGACCCAATGTGTTCCTGGTTGATTGGAATCATCGGTATTAGCGATGATTGCACAAGGTCGGGTCCATTGCAAGGGAATCTTATCCGCTGGAAATACTCCTCCGATGGTGACATTGAGCGCAGGTAGAGCAGCAAGTAACTGTCGGGTATTCATAAAATGACTGTAGTGGTACCTTTCCTACACCCGGGTTCGACAACGTTACGGCCCTCTTTTGGAAGTCTCGTTGGCACTGGTGGTGGTGGTGGTTTTAGATTTTCCTCCGAGATCGTATCGTCACTATCGCTGTCGCTATCAGAAATGTCGTAATTTTCATCGTCACTGCTTAGCTCATGACCCGTTACTTGAGAGATGGGATATGCATCGACACTCCAAATTTTACTAATATCAGAATCCTTCAGCTTAACTTTTCCTGTATAAATATTTTGCCTAATCTAAATCTTTCATTTAACTGCGTTATGGCAAGCGCAGACATCGTCACCATGTAAATTAGATTTAGCATGATAGATACAAAAACGCTTATTTTCTGGTACATGTTTAAAACTAGGCGCATAATCTTCTAAATTAATGACAGTTCTCAATAAACT